GATCTGAACAATTAATTTGAAGACAACAATATGCAATAGAAGAGCCATTGGTGAATTCTTACCATTTTGTTTAGTGAAGCTCTGTATTGTTTCTAATGTTGTTTAAATTATTTTTTATTCTCTTTAGTGCTCTTGTCAATCTTGCATTCTTACATCTGGTAACCTGAGCAACTTCGGTAACAATAACCATATGTAATATAACAACCACCGTTAATTCCTATCATTTTGTTTTGAAACCCTATATCATTTTTATAGTTTTTGTGTTGTTTTGTTTTTGTGTATGTTGTTATTTTGTTGTTGTTTTTATTCTCTAAAAAAAAATAAATCTGTTGTTCATATCCAGAACAGACATCCTAACTACTCTAAATCTTTATCAACAGATTAGAGAAGCAGGAAAAAAGTTACATGTAATAGCTAGACTTTACTCAGCTATTTATCCTAAAAATCTAGGGACTTGTGACACAGGAAGTTGTGAGGGTTTAAAAACACTGGAGATGCCCCTTAGCAACTACAAATCACATAGTATTATTCTACAATCATAAAACAATTATAAAAAGTTTTACCACCATAAGCAATTTTAGCCCAAAAGTCTTTCTAAGAAGTCTTTCTATATATTTAATTAGTTTTTACACTTAGGGTAGAACTTACATTTCTTTAACAAGTCTCCAGGGTGTAACGGTACTGACGAGAATTAATGAAGCTCATCAAAGGTCTAAGTTTAGGAAACAGTGCTGCTGACTACAGATAGACTTATAGGGCTGCCTTTGTTCACAAAAGCTTCTGTTTTCAAACAATTTGCTTCACAAACAAAAGCATTTGGCAAAATTTGCTTCTCTTCACAAGCTCCTCATTTGGTTTCAAAGATGACCATCATTATCTGCCCCACACAAATACAAACACAGCCATCTTCCCCCAAACTAAAACACATTAAGTTCATAAAGCAAGGTACCACTGTTTTACCCAATATTCAGGTGTATCTAATTTACACAATAACAAAATGTTTGTCTAATCAAAGCCAATAGACAGATCAAATTTTAAAGGAGAACCAAACTTAAAGAAATTTTGACTATTTTATATGTCTAAGGGCTAAATGTATATTGTATAAAAAGAGAGCACTGACTAGTTTTACTACATTGAATTTATGTAGTTTTAACTCTATAAACTTGACTTTAGTCTCACAGCATATCTTGTTAATATATCGGTTATGTCATAAATTGAGGTAATAGTTATTTTTTAAACAATCATGAAATGATTACTGAAATCATTTTATAAGCAACATTTAATCTTAAAACTCAGTTTCAGTAAAAGAAAAAGTCTAACAATGGAAAATTACAAGAAATTATGTTAGTACAATGTAGAAATTTTGTTTTTTGTTTTTTTAAAATTGTGTTTTGACTCTGCTGCGAGTGTGGCACATGCCTATAATCCTAGCACTTGGGAGGTGAGGCAGGAGGATTGCTGCAAGTTCAAGGTCAGCCTTGGGTACAAAGTGAGTTGAAGGCCAGCATGAACTGCGTAATGAAACCTTGTCTCAAAAAGAACAAAAAAACCCTAGTTTTGTAAGTTTAACCAAGAGGATCTTAATATCTTAAGGAAACCTCATTATTTTAGACACAGAAGGCTTAACCTTTTAATTGAAACTAATTTAAAGATATTATAATAATTTATTAATATTATATGGTTCAGGAGGCTGATTTTTCAGCCCCAGAGTGAGTCTTGTCTAGCAGTTCTCCAAATCTAAGGGGTCCACACTCATTTATCTTAACAATTATTTTAATCATAACAGTTAATA